AGTCCAGCGCAGGGCCACAAAGGTGATGAAGGGAGTGGAGCATCTCCCTTGTGAGGAAAGGCTGAGGGAGCTGGGTCTCTTTAGCTTGGAGAAGAGGAGACTGAGGGGGGACCTCATTAATGTTTATAAATATGGAAAGGGTGACTGCCATGAGGATGCAGCCAGGCTCTTCTCACTGGCATCCAATGATAGGACAAGGGGAAATGGATCTAAGCTGGAACACAGGAGGTTCCGCTTAAACATGAGGAAGAACTTCTTCCCAGTAAGGGTAACAGAACACTGGAACAGGCTGCCCAGAGACATTGTGGAGTCGTTCCAAACCCGCCTGGACGCGTTCTTGTGTGATCTGATGTAGGTGGTCCTGCTCCGGCAGGGGGATTGGACTAGATGATCCTTTGAGGTCCCTTCCAATCCCTGACATTCTGTGATTCTGTGTGATTTTATGATTTATTAGATACAGCTGCACCAGCACTGATCCTGTAAGCATCAGCATGGGGCACCTAAACCCAGCACCGGGTTCATCCCTCAGCAGCAGCTCTGTTTACCGTAACTGGCCCCTAAGCACTTGGCATTACACCACTGTTATGAGACAACACCACAGCATTTCTTATCTCATCAGCCAGTGTAACCCATTCTGTGGTTGGGCCTTCTTGCCCTCCATGCCACATCATTCCCTGGTCACAAATCACCATTGCTGAGCAGTTACAATTTGAATTTCCCCTTCTACGGCTGCAACAATTCCCCAGAAAAAATGAGAAATAGATACAGAACTGGTGGTAGGGACCCAGAAGAGCTGCTAAATTGTCTAAAACCAATTTTCTTTTCAACAGAAAACAGTCCTATGATATACAACAAGATTCTCATATTATTCCTCCCCAGGCATTGACTACTGATGACTTGGAAAAGGAGATTCTGAGGCAGATGAACATCCGGGGTAGCCTGGTCCACACTAAATTCTCATGACAATGCTAGCACCATCCCATAGAAATGGCATCTGTCTGAGTCTCGCAAGTAGCTGGTCTCTGATAAGATAAAAACCTGTGCCCTCCTCTGCTTTCTTTCCATAGTGCTTTAGCTGGACTGCAGCACAAGAGGAAGCAGCACATGGCACTCACATGTAGGCAAAATGCAGTCACAATTCAGGGATTCTCCACCCAGCGCATCAGGATTTACGGTGGCGAGCAAGCACCTGCTGACTGCCTTCTACAACGAAACAGCCGGCTTGCTCCACAAGCGGGGAGCAGAGGATGCAACATCCCTTGGCGTCGGTCAAGTTTCTGACACCATTTCACACGTTTCCATTTAAGAAGCTGGGGAAGCACGAGCTTGACAGACAGACAGACCATGCTGTAAGTCAAAACCAGCCGGGCTCACAGGGCAGCACTCGGCAGCTCGACACCAGATCGCCGTTAGCAGAAGTACCTGACGGGCTGACAGCAGGGCTGTTCTACTGAACCCCTACTGCAACCGAAACGTTGAACTAAGCCCAACTGCAGATACTCTACACAATTACTACTATTTTAATACGACACATCATGTTACGGTATCTAGAATGCAGCCTGTGTGCTCCCAGGGACAGAAGAACATTATTGTCTCAGGCAGACTTAAATACACGTTTTCCTCTCCTCTCCCATCATAACCTTTTCCAGTTCCTGTTAAGCCAACTGGCAGCACACAGCTCGCTTCCAGATTTTTTGTTTAAGGGAATTTAAAAGGAAGACAGGAAAAGGGACTTCCCAATCTCTTTTCAAACTCAGATTAGCTACATATAAAAGTTAATTTTCAAAGCAACCGTTTCAAAGTGCTCAGTCAAGTTTCTTTTCAGTAATAATTCTAACACCCATCGTCTGTATTTCCTTGTCCTACTTAAAAAAGGTGACCCAAGTTTTGTATGGATATGGCACTTGAACAACCAGTATCGTCATTTCTTTGTTTGCTCTGAAAGGGAGCCAAATCGCACAAATTACTCACGCAGTTTTCAAAGGCGTCAGATCTGCCGCTATCTGCCTCGTTCTCCATTATGTCAACACCACACCCCCTCCTCTTACAAACTGTTCCCGTGGTTTTAACACGGAATTATGCAGGATACACCTGGAGAGCAAAATGCTAAGCCTTTTCTGTAAGGAAACTCCAAAAGGTCCCGCGTGTCTGCAGACTCTGGGTCCCAACCTTACCTTGGCTTGTACAGGCAGCACGAAAGTCGTTTGGTTTGCACTTTGTGTCCGTTGATGAAGATCCTCATTCTGGGATCGATATAAAGCACGGCAGCATAGGCACGGAAGGAGCGGCGCTCAGGCTTTCTGCAAGAGAGGGGTGCTTACAGACACTGAGCACTTTCATCAGCTTTTCCTGGTAGGACCACCAGCAGACATTCTCCCAGTCTGACCCAGGTAGCCCAAAGATGACGCCATCGATTCACTCCCTGAGTAACCAGCGTCTCTTCAGCCAGAGCGCTCATCTTGGAGTCTCTTTCAGTCTGCATTCCACTTCTTTCCTTCACAGTTTTCTCCCCTTCATTCCCCTCCAATTAAGAAAAGCCATGACATCCTACTGTCACAGAGCCTCCTCCTCTATCCAAACCAGTTTCTCCAGGGACAAAACCAGTAAGATTCTCATTTACCAATACACTACCACCCAGGAGCCAAGTGACCAGCAGAAGCACCTCCCCATGCTGCTCTACACCACCTTTGATGTACTTTAAGCCACCTATGGCAGGATTCACACCTCATGCAAGTGCAACCGTTACCATCTCAGCTCACAGCCATCTACCTCAAAACATGCCAAAGAGACCACCTTCAGCAAGAAAGCTAGGTTAAAAAAAAGGCCTATTTGTCCTGGTTTTGCTGGGATAGCATCATAGAATCAGTTTTCTGTTCAGAAAAGCTGCATTTCTAAAGCAAGCTGCGTTTTTAAGAAGGCTGCAGCCCCAATTCGGTCAGAACAAAGCTGATAAGGCACTGGGGTTCAGTTTGTAGGCAGCCGTGGTTCGCTGGCTACGTAGTGGTCAAGGACTTTTCACCTTGCCTTTGCTAGCGACCCGGATGTCCAGGAACCTGGGGGGAGCGTGGCCAGGGCGACTGACACCTAAACTGGCACAGGGGCATTCCGTACCATGTAATGTCACGCTCACTATGAATCAGGAAGTTTGCTGGGGACGGCCTCTCTCTCTCTCAATGGTTGCTGCCCCCGAGGGTCTTACCTGCCATTCTGCCCCCAAGGCCTACTCTCTCTCTCCCCCTCGGGACTGGGGTTTCAGGCTTTTCCTGCTCTAGGATCACTAGCTGGGAATGGGCTGGACACTGGTCAGCAGGTGGTGAGCAACTGCACCATACATCACTCATCTGTATATATTATTATTAATTTAATTTTATTTCAATTATTAAATAGTTCTTATCTCAACCCATGGGTCCTTCTTCCTTCTCCCTGATTCCCCTTCTCGAGTGGGGAGGGGTCACTGGGTAACAGAACAGCTGGATACTGTTTAGCCCCAGATACGGGCTAAACACAGACACTACTTTAATTACCACACAGCTACGTTAAGGGAGGCTTTCCTTTTCAACTTTTTTCTACTGAGATTCTCTATTGAGCTGTACATTACAAAACACGGACGCACATTTTACTGTAGCTTGAAAAGGCCGTTTTGAATACAGCTGGATAATCAAGGTCAAACCTATAAACTGGACCACTGAACACTGAGCACGTGCCCTACTTGCCAGTGTGCTCTCTTAGCCTTCAGTTAGCCAGGAGCATGCTCCAACAGAAACCACTCTGACCACACAGAAACGGGATCACACAAGGTCAGAAGGAAGAAGCTCCTCCCAGCGATCAGTGGTAATCATGAAAGCTCACCAGCAGGCATTAAAGAGGCTGAGCAGCATATTGGATCCCTGGAGGTCCCCAAGGAGTTTGGTGCACCTGTGTACTCAGCAGCAAGCTAATACAGAAATAGTTAGGTTTCCAGCCTTTGAAACTCTGTCTATGGGAAGTTCAGGCACTTCAGGGAAGAAGTGTGTAATCTCAAAAAAGGTAAAGCTTGCTAGTTGTGCCCATGGAGCTCCGGGATTTAAACAAGCGTTTGGTTTGGCTCAGCTCAGTTTTTCCTTTTCAGGCTACAAGTCGACAACTCAGCACACACTTGGCTTTCCCGGAACAGGGTCCTCCGCTCCTCCAGCTGCCCTCTGAGCACATCCTTCTTCCTCCCCTGCAGGGAAGCCCAGGAGCTGCCCCTGTTCCCAGAAAGATGATGCAACCCACCTGCACTCGCAACCACACCATTCGCTGGTGGAGGCTGACCTGCGCAGCGCCTCGCGTTTTCCCGGGGTTCGTTCAATCACAAAACTGAACATCAGTTCGAGAGCAGCACAGACTCACAACCAGCTGTTATTCTGATGAAAACATCTTTGATGAGTGTAGAAAGTTAAACCTATAGCTTAGGGCTCCTTTGTTTTAAGGTGCCTAAAGGGCATCCAGTCGGCCATGACCAAGCTGAGACGAGCCAATGCAGGCATTCACACCAAACACACCACCATAACACGCGTGGGCCATGTACACGCATGAACTCCAAACTGCTGAAGAACAAACTAAACATCTTCTAAATTCTCCAATTCCCCACAGAAAGATAAGCTTTTAGAAAACAGAGGCACACAGCATACAGCCAAACCCTACACATAATCCCATCAGAGCTAAGGGCCTGTAACACCCGTCACACTCACGTTCCCTCTGGGGGCGTTTCTGCCATCTGAATGTCTCGGGGGTCAGAAGTCACATCCAGCTCTGGCTCTCCGTTATCCATTAGTTTGAGGTTAAAGATGATCACCAGCGTACCTGAGCAAGTAACAAGGTGATCAGGTGAATCCCAGCCGAACCCCAAATACCTTGCCGTGACCAGCACTGTCCATACGTACCTTTCTCACCACAGATCTTACTAAACTGCTCCATCACTTCCTGTTCTGATTTGAAAGGGGAATACTTGTAAATTAGCTCTGTCTCAATAGCAAACTTCTCCATGTTGTCAGTCACAGGCTCCCAGCTTCGGGCATTCCAGGTGGGCAGAGGAACGATGACCTGCAAATCGCATCACACCAAGAGCAACTCAGGCCCACCTACTCCAGCCAGCCCCTTCTGCAGATGACAGCTGAGCGACTCACCCCTTCCGACAGCCCCCTACGTCACTGCAAGAGCTTTTCAGTGGTTTGCATGTCTGCCAAGTGCTCGAAGACCCCTCTCTTTGCCAGGCTCTGAGTTGCCTTCCTACAACACCTAATCTTAGACCGAACCGTTCCCAAGTCACCTGTATGGTACTGGCTAATCACACACTCAATGTCTTTTTTCCTCTCCTCTTGTAACAACTTTCATAATACTAAAAACACATCCAAATTTTGCTTCTTTAAAATTGTCAATCTCAGTCCTTAACTTCTCTCTTAAACTCAAATATTCTTCACTCATATTTATCCTGATCTCGCTCTATTATTTTTATAGGATTCTAGCAAGGTTATTGGTGTTTTCTGTTGCTTACAACAAAAACACAAGTAGAATTATAGACTGCAGTTGCCTATTAAGGACAGCAAATCCTGTTGTCACTTTAGAATTGAGGTCAAGCCAAAATGTCTGGCTCCAGAGGTACTGTGGGAACTACATCACTGTTCCCAACTTGCTTCAGCCATCAGCTGGCTGCTTGCAAGCGCTGCTCCCTCAACAGCCTCTTTGTAGCACTCCCCCCACTATCACAAGGGAAAATGCTTTCTTACTTACTATCCCAGCACAAATTTAAAAGTTTTCATTATCAGCCTTGCCTGGAAAATACTTGTGCTTGAGCACAAAAATACTTCCATGTTAAGAGTCTGGACACAGGACAATGCCTGAATTATCTACAAAGATATGCAAGTTTTCGATAACTAGAAACACACTGGGTTTTTTAATTAAAAAAAAAAATCCGAAAGAGGAGACATGTCTGGAGTTTATAACCTGAAGGTAGCAACTCCAATCACACCTTTAAATCTCTACAGGAAATCAAATCAGAGTAATAAATTTAAATACATCTCAAACTAAAATTTTGTGGGAAAATGAAAATGAAAGAAGTCTGGGCATGTCCTGAACTCAGCATAAGCAACTTAAGTGATTGGAACAAGCCCCTCAAATGTGCAGTAGCTTAGAGAGACCTCTGATACAGACCGAAAACCAAAAGGAAAAAATTTTTGATGACTTTGCAGAACTGCTACAAGTGTATCACCACGAGAAAACCATACACTGATCCAACCAGAGTGGCACCCAACACTGACAGAGCCTCTCCTGCTGTGAGAGCCGGGAAGTTCAGACCAGACAGCATGCACCACACTACTGCACTACCACAAAGTACATGCCAACCTCATCGATGCCTTCTTCCTCATGGAACGTCCGTGACAAGAGGAGGCAAGTCATGGTGTTGTCTTTCTTCGTGAACAGGATAAAATCCTTCCCAATCCGCATGGAACCCCTGGAGAGAGATTTCAGGCTGATGCACAACACTCTCTAGAAAGCAGACCGCATTACTGAGTTTTCCTCCCATCATGTTCAATTATGAGATGCCAAAAACAGGTGAGGCAGAAAAAGAGCTTAAACAGCAGCTATCATTTCTCTTCAAACGTCTCATTCCTTTCAAAAGGCATCTCACTCTGGACATTTTCATAACATTTTGAAACATTTAACACTAGTCACAATTAAAAGGTGCAGAAGTACAGCGTGGCGTTCCAGGCTCACGCTATGCAGAAAGTTTAAAAAAATATATATTTTTTTTTTCAAATCAAGAAAAGATTACTAAGGTGAGATGTGACAATAACCTTCAAATATGTGAGCAGAAATTAAGTGAGAAAGCGAACACACGCTTCATTTTGCTGTACACAGAATGAACAGCAGCAGACAAGTTTCTGGGAGACAGAGAATTTATTCCCTAATGTCTAACCCGACAGACGCCCTGACACTTCAGTGAATGCAACTGAGCAGCCAGTTGTCATGAAAAGGGACAGTCCCATCCTCCTCCCCACTCTCCTATCCCTAATAATGCCTTCCCCCCCTCTTCTCCCTCACTCACCCAATTTGTCCAAAAACCCTAAACAGGGAAAAATTAACATAGTATCAAAGAAGAATGAGTGTTCTGTCAGTTCAGTTCTCTTCAGACGGGCTTAAGGCCATACCACAGCTCACCTTTTGCATGTTTAGATTTCAGTCGGCAGTTCTCAGCTGCAATATGGCATGTCTCTTGCTCAAGTTTAAGAACAGGACAGACATCTGTCTTGGAAGTGCACAGGCAGCATCTGGGATCTGTCCTGCACTGCAGCTGGATTAATAGCATCTCAACATCCCTTACATCCCCTTTTTTCTTTTTCTCAGATTAGTCCCACAGATTTCCCCAGAAGGATGCACATAAATAATGAAGCCACATGGAACAGCATAAGCAGAGCAGCTGAGCAGAGTAAGCCACAAAAGCCCTCTAACTTTCCCAAGGCATTAGTTCACTGCAGCAAACACCTTTATCTTTTCTAGCAAATCCCCTCCAACCAGTAAGATTTCCTTCCTGCCCCTGTTCCTCTGCCACTTAATCTCACTCCTCTCATTCCTTCCATCATTCTCGTTCTTCTCCATGCATTTGTTTGATTCACTAAAAAAAGAAAAGGTCTAAGTCCATCTGACTTGCATCAGAAACTTTCCCAGCGAGAAGCTGCAGCACTATTTTACTCCAATTTTACCACCTGTCTGCCACAGGCATATTAAGGTTTTGTTTCCTGCTCTTTTTTCTTTCCTTTTTTTTTTTTCTTCCCAGCTCTGCCTCATGCAAACATAACAGCAAAACACTGTGTCCTGGTTTCAGCTGGGACAGAGTCAGCTCTTCTTTTTAGCAGCCAGCAGAGCTCCGTGTTTTGGTTTCACTCAGAGGCTCGCTCTGAGAAGAATGCTGATAGCAAGCTGGTGTTTGTGGTTGGACGTGAGACTCCAAGGGCTTTTCAGTGTGCCGGAGTGCAGAGGCACGGTGGGACAAGGGGGACACGATTCCCCTTGTGATTTGTGGTGGAACTTAAGACTGAGGCCAAACTGGCCAATCAGTATTCCATATCATGCAGCGTCATGCCCAGTATAAAAGTGAGGGGCAGCTGGACAGACGGGCTTTTGCGCTTTGGCTCTTTTGCTCTATTGTTTTTCTTTCCTTTTCTCTCTCTCCCAGCACTCCCACTCTCGGAGTACTCTCTCTCTCTCTGCCCCTCTCTATTTTGGGGCCTCGCGTTCGTCCGGGATTGCAGCTTCGGGACGAGACGGGCTTCGCATACGAGGGGGTGGTGAGCACCTACCCTGTGTATTAAATCATCTGTAGTAAATTGTTCTTATCTCAACCCACGGGTTTCCCGTTTCTTCTTTAATTCTCTCCCTCATCCCTGGGGTGAGGGAGGGTGAGTGACCGGCTGTGTGGGAGGGTCAGCCTAACCCACGACACAGTCATCAGCTTTGAACAGACTTCTCTGCCACTCAGGAACTACAGCAGATGTTCACAGAGCTCCTGTATACTAAACCATGGTATCTTTGTTTAGATTTCATCTGCTTTTTTTTTTTTTCTTGGGAAAAAAGATGTACACCTCCAGCAAAAAATACATTTACCATCTCAACTCTAACCTCCATAATCTCAGGAGGCTGGCTTTTGTTATACCTACGATTTCAAGCCATTCCCATACTGCCCAATTTGAGTCGACTCAGGCGATCGCTTGGCTGATTTACCGAATTGAATAACACTGGCAGCTTCATCTGAAACGAGAGACAAGGAACAAAAAATGTTTCTTTTAATATACAGACACACACACATCTTTTAGATAAACGTACTCATCCTCATGCTGAAGCTCTACCATACAGCCCTGTAAGATACACGTTGCTCAACGGCATCTGCATCGCCAAAAGCTTTGTACAGATGCCATCGTGCTGACAAAGAGAGTTTTAAGTCGCAGACTAGGCCAGTGCCCCCTCCCAACTGCACAGAGACATTTCTTTCACAAGAAAACGTCCACCAGACCATCTGTTGTGTCCACGACCATTATCAGCACACTTATAAACCAAACCACACGCCGGGACACTGCAGCTCTGCTGTACTGCTGACGCCACAGACTCGGAACCGCTGGCACTACAGCAAAAGGCAGTACTATAAAAAAGGTCTTGAATTTGGGAAAAAACATTACGTTTTCATCATGGCGTGGAACCGAACACTCTGAGTAATTAATGCTCTAGTAAGAACGCAGCTCACTTCAGCAGCAGAGCGCTGGATGACTGCCAGCAGGACAGCTATAGGTGAACAGGCAGCCCCAGCACGTACCGCGGCCATCAACGGGGCGTCGGATCAGCGCAGGGCAAAACGAAAGGATGGGATGGCTTTACAGCTGAGAGGCTCTGTCGTTTCTAGCACAAGCCTTTCCATTATTGGAGCCTTTCAACGCCATCCATAGCACAGAACAATCCCTCTCCCTTCCCCCAAGGCACTGCAATCATTTCACCATAGTTTACCGGGAGAAATGAAGCGCAATTCCAGAGACAAGGAACACAAAGTGCCTTCCCAGGAAGGCTAACAACAACGACAGCCCCAAACGCGTACCCAAGCTGTGATGGAGCACAGGACATCGCTGGCTCCACCGGCCAGCAGCACAGAGGCTGAGCCCATGGATAAACGGGATTTCAGCACACAGGAGACTTACTCAGGCCCACTAGTACCGGCAGCGAGTTTCCACGGGAAGACGTTTTCGTACGAACACCATCGGTCTAACACAAAACCACTGAGCTGAAAACGCCATTTTCCATAAAAATGACGTCCAGATTTAAAGCCATGAATCACATGGTGAAAATTAAGGGGAACAAGTGTGCAAGCACCTTGCTGCCTCAATTCAGTACGTTCACAACAGAGGCCAACAGCTATCCCAAAAACCAACTTTTGGCTGGATGAGAGTACCTCTTCCTTTCCTTCAGCCCACAACAGCATTTTCCAGCCGAAGACAGACATCAGAGTATCTCGTACCTGAGGTCTAGGTAAGGATATCCATGATATTCCCATTGCTATTGTTACTATTACAGAGTGTCGTGGGTCAGCCCCGCCGGCAGCGCAGC